AAAAAAAAAAAAAAAAAAAGCTAAAGGAACTCCAGTCAGAATTATAAATGTCCTTGAGCCATTTGCATTTTGTGATTTTCCGCAGGCAGCAGAAAGGCCAGGGCAGAGGAAACACAAAAGCCAAGGTTAAAAGCAAAAGCAAGTGAAGCCTGTCAGCGAACTCTGCACCCAAGGCTCTCTCAAAAAGTAGGTATGGGATTGCTCAGCTCCATGCAAAGGTTGCACGTGCCCTAGGCTTCTTCTAAAAGAAGGCAAGGGCGTAGTCTCTTGCCAGTCTTAGGACTTTCTTTCCGTAGAGTCACACCGTTTCACCTAAACGCAAACAGCCGAAAGACGGGACGCTTATGGAATATTTGGTAAATTTGCGCCTGTCTTGATGCTGTCATCCTCATGTACAGACATGTTACCACAACCTACTTGTGGCATGCCGCTTCTCAAGATTTCAGGGAGTTAGTACTCGAGTCTTGCGCGTAAAGAAAAGAGACCATGCTGCCTACCTTACTGTAATCTTACGAGGGGTTAGGGGAGTGGCAGGGGAGGAGGGGCCGAATCTACATATCTACATACATACGTATCTACACATATTATGCCTCTATGTATATACATATCTATCTATCTGCACATGTATATGTGCGCCGCATTCTATTCCTACATTGTGTTCACAGAGAATCACTTTGATTACTTCCCCTCAGAGCGTGCTCTTCCGTTCCACCTCCGCAGCTCAGAGATCCTAAGCATCCGGAGCTCCGCGGCGCGGAGGCGAACTGTGCGGCCCGACATCCGCGTGCGCCCTGAAAGACAAGGAAAGGAAGATGTACAAGATAAAATGGTAGTTTCCATTTTGTTTCTTACTATAATATAGTATCATGCAAAATATTCAAAGACAGCAGGTGCATACGTAGACAGATGTCGTATGCACGCATGTATATGTATGCATACGGAGATGCAAACTGTAGACGAGTGTGTGCATCTGCTGGTATATTGTGTTTGCGCATACATACACAAGCAACTTCTGCAGCATCTCTGTGCAGTCGTGTGACGTCCGGACTCGAAGTCCTCGCAGTCCCTGGCAAGAGCACATCCATGCAAAACCCCAATGCTTTGAGGGGAGGAGACAGGCAGCTTTGTCTTGGAAATCCTGCAAGGTCCCAAAACTATTGCGGAAGCAAAAAGACATGCCCAAGCCGCGTCGCCAACTCGTACCGGCAGACCTCGTTGCAGAGAAGAGGAGGAAGCAAATGAGACATCGTGGCCAGTGCAACCGTGGGGCGGGACAGCTGTTAGCCTCCCTGAGCCACTCCCTTATGCAGGAGGTGCAAAAGAGGTGACCACAAAGCATCCTGTGCGGGTGAGTTCTGCGATTCGCCGTAACCACAAAGACAAACGCTTTACCCATTGGGGAGCGGATCTGGTGCCTGGTGGCACGAACGCCGGGCCGGTAGTCCTCCAAGCAGGGCCAGTGCTTGTGGCCAAGCGCAAGATGGCACAGCACTGCAGAAGCATTGCAGAAGCATTGCCACGAGTCTGCGAGGCCTCTAAGCAAACAGAGCACTTGGAGTTGGTGGCGTCGAGCAAGTCCTCCTTTACAGCGCAGGTTCGCCAGCTACCTGTGATGACTGAAGAGACGCGTTCTTTCGGGCTCCTTTGTCACGACAACCCGCGGAAGAGCATCTCGAACTCGCTCGCTCGCGGGTGGGACTTTGGGGCCAGATTCCTCCATGCTGCGTTGCATGGCAATCTGCGCCATCTGCTCCTGCAACGCAACACCACGATTAGTTCACAGGGCCGCTGCATGTCGCAAACAAGTTCCCCGGTGCTCCATCATCATTCTCATAATTCCACCTGTCCACCGGAAGATCGCAAGCAAGCAGGCTTAGACTTTTAGACAGAAAGGAGAAGCAATTCCGGCGGCGCCTAAAGCATCTGCCGCTGCGTCTTCTTCGGTGGGCCGAGAAACCTGGCCGCCGAGGCTCTGCAGCAGGCCCAGCGGCAGCGGAAAGCCGGGCTCCTGTCCTTCAGGAGTTGACAAATCTCGACCAACACCTTTCCAAACACGTCTGCTGAGGCGGTGGCCATTCGGTGTGATAGCCGCACCAACCAGCCCGCGGCCGGGCAGCGTCAGCAACGTGATGGATGGGCCACGCTGTGTGGTGGAGCTACTGTTGGCCATCCCAAGCAGCGCGGCCAGAGAAAATGGAAGATCCGCCATGCTGCCTCAAAGAAACAGCCTCGAAAATGCAGCCTCAGTCGCTCATCTGCACAAAAGCTCCGCCAGCTCCTCTCTCCCTCTCCTCCCTTTTCCCGTTGCTTCGGACGCGCGGATATATTGGGCTTGGTTGCTTGATTGCTTTGCTCTATTCATATGATTACTGTAAAGTGGCAAAAGACAGCTTGCAACGAGTTCCAGCAGCAATACCTTTGATTGTTCTGCCATGCGTCTCAAACAAATCTTGCCCGCTCAACTTAATTAAACCCCTTTGGACCAAAGGCAGCGCGGATGCAAATGCATGCCCCATGATCACCCTATACCGGGATAACGTGGCAAAACAAAAGAACTCTTAGGTCAGCTGTGCCCGCCACTTGATGCCGGGCGCAGAGCCTCTTGTCCATCGCCATGACCTGATATCAAGTTACAGCACAGGGCCCAAGCAGCAGTCTAGCCGGTGCTCGGGCCATTGCAAGGCCAAGCGCACAAGCACAGGATGCATGCGTCTGTTCATGCTTGAGCCGAAACAGGAAATATTGGCGTGCGTCAATTTCAGGCCACTGGAAGGTTCCAAGCATGTTCAAAAACACCTGCCGATGCCTGCTCCCGCCGCTTCTTCTCCACGGCCATCTTGGCCTTTTGCTCGGCCTGGCACAGCGTCTAAGACACTTAGAAGTGCCCCTGAAAGCCATGCGGCGCAATGCCAGCCTCCTCCTGCTGCTGTCTACGCTTCAGTTCCTTCACCTTCTCGGCGGGCTTCCAGCCTCCACGCCAAGCCGCTAGGACCACTAGGACCGCAGCGCAGGTGCCCGCGGTCAGCCACAGAAGCCGCAGTCTCCAGCTCTGAGGCCAAAGCCAAGTGGCCGTACATCAAGCACCACTGGACGGCTCTTCAGGAAGTGCATGACCTGAAGCAACTGGCGGTAACGGCTGAGACCCAGCAACAGTGGCCTCAACATATTCCAGGGTTCTTGCACGCTGTTGGTTTTGCTGCACTAGAGCCAAACCGTTGATGGCATGGACCTGCTGCATAACAGCTACCTTCCTGTGCCTGCAAGAGAGCGCATGAGAGCCTCATAGTTAGTAGGAATCCCCTTCTTGCTGGCAAAGGAATCTGGATTCACCTGCAGGTAGCACCCGGCTCATGTTTCTCCTACACAGAACTGCTTTGGCCCGGGCAGACAAGATCATCGGAGGGGATCCGCCAGAGAATCGGACACCCAGCGGCCCCTCCCCAAGCGCCAGGTCGCCAGCAATGGCTCTAAGCAGGTTCGTGATAGGGCCTGCTCCTCCACTGTGAACTCAAAGCGCAAGATGCCTTCCTTGCGGATGAGATAAGTGCAAGCTGCAAGCCGAATCAGTGAGATCAGTGAGGCTCTCAAGGCACATTACATGCTTCGCCTCCAGCGGGGGGAGTGCGCCAAGATCCACAGGAGGCGGCTCGAACTCGGGCACCTCCAAAGCCAGACTCCGCCACATCTAACACTACAGTAGTCGTATAGTAATTTTAGTATAACTGCTCTAGCACTGCATATTGTTTTAAGAGAAGGAGTAAATCATAAACGCTGCGTCACACCTTCGACTCCGCGAGCTTCTCGGGCATTCCCACTTGCCCATCCTTGGCCCTGAAATTGACTTCTAAGCACTGCGAGATTTGGGGGGGTAACTCACAGACTGTATATTTCTTTATTCTTATGATTGTTCACACATATGGGTGAAAAATCATAAGCAATTGCAGTGGCAAAGCGCTGAGTCTTGTCGTCATCCTCGCTGCTGCTGTCGCTGCTGCTTGACTCCTTCTTTGCCTGTAGCACAGGACTGCACAAGCAGATCAGCCAGGATTGACTATTGTGGACTGCGGGTGCCTTCTTTTTCTTTTTGTCTTTCTTTTTCTTCTCCTTCTTCTTCTTGTCCTGATAAACGTGCATTTAGGGATGCGGCGGAAAAATACATGTGTGTCCTTTTTCTTCTTCTTTTTCTTTTCGTCGCTGTCGCTGTCGCTGTCTTTCCTCTTCTTACCCATGGCAGCCTGGCAACATCAAGCAATGGGAGCAGGCCTCTACACCTCTACACCTCCAAGTGCCCTGCCCTGGGCAAAGCCGCAGCAGCTGACGAAGTGCATCAAAGGTGGAGCCGAGATGCGGTCGGAGTTTGGTGCTCTCAGGATGCGTCAAAAGACTTGAAGAACATGGATGTGAAAGCTATGAAGATCTAAACCTGCTCATTCTCTCAGCGCTTCGGCTTTTTTGGAATCAGCTCGCGCTTGCAGCGCTCTTTGCCTTGGGCGTAGCTGCAGGAGCTGCGGCCTCGGCACAAGTCGAGCTGCTCTGACGAGCAGTCCAGCAACATGCAGCAGGGATCGCCGGGAATAAGAGAAACGTCAATAACTTCTGCACTGCCAGACGTCGATGTTGTTACAGGATGTTGCAGGCACGCACACCTTGTGCGCACCTCATGCACTCAATGCATTGTACAGGGTGGCGGCTTGCCAGCCGCTCAAGTATCCCTGTAACAGATGGTCCGTCTCCAACTGTCCGTCTCCAACGCCCCTGGCTGTGCGCTTTGCTCGGCTGCTGGACAGCTTGAACTGCAGATCGGAGTTGTTCAACCCCTCGCTCCCTGAGCGCGGCACTTCCCCGAGCTTGAGCTTCTCCAGTTCTTTCTGAAGCTGCTGTGATCGTCGATGGTAGTAAAACGTGGCAGCAGCCTTGGAACCGTCTACCTACCCTTTGAGAACAGTAGCTTGACTCTTCTCCCAAAATACCGAAGACTGAAGCACTTGCAACACGGATGCTGCAAGGAGAACAACGACGATCATGCCAGCATACCTCAGATGCTGAGGAAGGGCCCTGGAAAAAAGCCTCGCCAGGAGCCAAGCTGTTACGGTTCAGGCTGTGCTGCCATGCTACAGGACATCCACTCGCTCGGCCTCCGAATGGCACATGGCTACCCGGCTGGCTACGCGGCTACGCGGCTACTCTTCTGACATCTGCGACCAGCCGCCAGCCTCCTCCTCCTCATCCGCCTCTTTGGCTTCTGCCTTTTCGGCAGCTTCCTTTTGGGCGGCTTCAGAGCTGTTGACAGGCAGCCCCGTCTCCTCTGCCACCTTACATGGGCGGAAGGAACAACCAAGATAACTGCCGTGCCTCTTCCCAGGTCTCTGCCAAGCCACCATCCGCTCGATCCTCAACATGTTACGCACAGTGCCAGCTACACAGCCACACCTAGCAATTTATGAGAAATCGCTTCCATGAATTGTAACGCTATTCGAGCTGTGTGAGCGCGGAACTCCTGGAAAGTGCTTGAAAACATTGCAGGAGATGGTGGTGCAACTTTGCCCATTTCCTCTGTAGATAGCGAGCGGCTCAAAGAATTTCTTCGTTTCAGCCTCGGCCTCCTGGGCACTTTGAGGTTGCTAGAGCAAGGCCACAGTGCCGGCACAAAAAGCAAACCTCAGGCCGCTTGCTACCCTGGGAAGCTCCTGCACGTTATTGGGGCCAACATCAGCTGTGTGGGCCACGGTGACCCGCGGTGGCTGGGCACGGGATGCCTGGTCAATGTATCTCAGCGTACTCCCCGCAAACACAACTTCGCGGCTTGGCGGCCTGCACGGCCTGCTGAAACTGCGGTGCCCGAGGAGCGGCGTAGGCGGCACCCTGGACCTCCAAAACTGTCCAGCCCAGTCTGGGAAGCGTCGGGGCTGTTTTTGGCAACATGTAGGTTCGCGTCGAAGTCGCGCCTGCCAGCTTGGCCTGGAGGGCGCTGGTGCAGCTGGCCAGGGATTGCTTGCCCAACCCAGGCTGCTTCCCCAACTGCTTCCCCAGCCCGGGTTATCCTGAAAAGAAGGCGCAAGAAACTCTCTCCCGCTGCTTCATTCACGCGTGCGATCAAGGGGCATAGCCACCGGAAGGTCTTGGGAAGTTTGCCTGAAACGGTTTGGTGCAATGTCTGTGTTGTCTATTTGAAGCCATAGATGGCACGCCTGCATGCTTGGGTGCCACTGGTCCTCCTCCTTGAGCGAGGCCTCCAGCAAATGGTGCCGGCCACCGGCCACATGCTTGAATCTCTATGAACACTCCTGTATGACTTGTTGCACGGGCTGTTCTCTGTGCTATGATACCAACCCCCATTGGGCTCATTTGGCTAGCCGCCAATTTGATCTCACCTTGGCACCCATTGTTGGTAAATATGTTTGCCTACGCCTGACCGCAGACCGCCACTGGACCACTGGTAAAGTCAAGTTGGTTGAGTATAGAAAGCCATCCTGCTTCTGGCCTGAGACCGCATCCAGCGAGTGTCTGTGTGTCCCGAGTGGGAAACTTCTGCCGACACTTGCGCAGCGTCTGCCGGCAGCACGAGGAGCAGCAGCACATGTATCATGGGGATACGAATGGCCTGAAAGACTTTGCAAACCTAGAGCCACTTGTGGACTTGAGCCCAAAAATGCGGATCTCTTTTGCGTAGTCACGCATCAAAGGTTCTGAAACATGTGGCAAGCGATCACGGACTTGCGGCAGTATGAGCAGCTCATCGCCCAGTTTTGCTGGCTCATGTTGCAGACAGATGCCAGCATAATGCACAGATTCTCGTCATGATCCGTGCACTTCTGGTGCATGGCTTACAGTGACTTCGTGGGGGGCCAGGGTGGCGAAAACATGTGAAAACTGTATCGACAAGCTACTCGGGGATATTTGCTCAGGTATTCCAGCACCGAGAGCAGCGCCCCTGGCAGCTCTCATGCTCCTCAAGGCAGTCGTAATTCTTGCCCAGCAGCGTGGGGTTGGACTTGATGGCCTGCCAGATCCAGAGTGAGATTGTTCGGGACTCTTGTTGACCACTTGGGGAAAGCAGCGCCGGCAAACCTTCTGGTCTAATCATCGACAGTGCTTCATGAAATCTCTATGCCAGACTCTATGCCTTCTCCGGTTGCCCTGCGCAGCTTTGGCCTTTAGCTACTTGACTTCAGCTGCATCACCTGGAGCCCGGCCTTGTTGTAAGTCGCTTCGGTCTTCAGGTAGCTGGGCGCTGTGTTTTTGCCCTCCTCCAGTTCTTCCACGCTGAGGCCTCGGCAAGATTTTATAACAAGTTAAGTCTTGAGAATACCAGTGGAGTGAGCTGCCGCCTTAAAAAGCTTTTGGCAGAAACTGGGCTCCGTTGCCAAGGACCTCCGGGAAGCGCCGCACCTGTGCTGAGTGCAAAGGCTGCCAGAATTCAAGAATCGAAGTTTCTGTTGCGGAGGGGTCAGCAACAACATTCCCGTGCCAGTCACTCAGGCGGGTACCCAGGCTTTCTCCGCCAGGCCTTTCGCTTCTAGCCAGCGAGCCTGGGGCGGATCACTTAGACAGTGGGAGGGAGACTTTTTTTCATTGAAAGAGCCAAGCAAGCAAACTCAGTCTATCACTCGGCGCGTACGCCCTAGCAGTGAAGCAACAACCACGGATCAGCCAAAGCAGTTACGCTTGAGTTACACTGCTTACAGCCGGGGAGGCAGGGAGAGGGAGGGCGAGAGAGAGAGAGAGAGGTGGTAAAATCTTCTCGCTCGGGGCCCCTGCAGTGCTCCGCACGGCCTCTGGCTCAGGGATCTCCTGGGACCGCAGCTTCCGCCAAAAGCGCCGGCTCTTGGGAGTCCAGGCAAAGCCTCCAGCGCACAGAAATTCAAAGCCTGGGGATGCAACGTAGCAGCACGGAGTAGCACGTAGCAGAGCTTGTAGCACAGTTCAGAAGCTTTTAAGGCCTGCTTGCAGCCAGTCGAGGGCATCTTCCTTGGTGCTACCTTCGACGATGTCCACGATGACCTGCGCGCTCTCCTCCCAAACGGGCGAGGTGAGCTCAGGCGCATCTGGCTCTGCCCGGAAGAGCCGCAAGGGCTGACGAGCACTGTAGGCACCACCACCACGTCCATCCCCTCCAACAAAGCTGCCTAGCACAACTTGTGCAACTGGGTTAGCATCGCCGACTGCTCAATCATCAAGTTTTTGGCAGTGGTTGGGACTCTCCTCCACGCAGAGTAAGCGCGCACAGCAGGATGCCAGGCACCCAGATCAGAAGGCTGCACCCAGGGCTTCTGCGCAGCGCGGGAAGCACCATGCCCTGTTGGTTGCTATGATGGTTTGAGCAGCACTGCTACACAAATAAGCTGCAACACCTACATGCCAGGGGCTGAGAAGACCGTAGGCTGGGCTCCTGCTGATATGGGTCGTTTGCTGACGTGGGACAACATTCTTGATCCAAAGAGATGCCACAGGTGGTAACCCTGTCACTGCTGACTGCATGCACCAGGGCTGGTTTACTCAGCTTCACGCTCTTTTGAACCTGCAATGTTGCAAAGCTTTGCAGCGTGGACAACTAGCTAATAGCCTTATCAATCTGCTAGCTATGGAAAGATTGACCTCGTGGCTCCGGGCACACAAGATCCACCTGTGGCCTACTCGTGGCGTAGTCCAGCACAGCTTCTCTTCTACATCGCGAGAAGCTTCTCACATCTGCTTGGACTGGACGGGCGCGGCTGAGCGTCTTGGCCGCAAGCTGGTACATTGAAACAATTTTGAGCAGCTTGCAGAAATGCTGAGGTTCAGTATCTTTCTCGTGGGATTGCAACTAGCTTGAAGCTAGCAGGCTTGCTCTGCAAGATCTGCAACTGACTGCGCCGTAAGGACATCCAGCGCCCTGGACAACGATCGTCGCCTCAGCATAATGCAAGAACTGATGAATCACCAGCTGACAAGGCTGCGAAGTGGATCATCATGTGTCTTCATTCATGAACACAGCTTCACAGAGTTCCGTCTGGCATTATTGACTTGTCCATTACTCCAAACAACTCTGTGCACGTCAAGGTCTCAAGGTGGAATGGATTGACATACCCCTTAAAACCGATGCGGGCGCGACCAAAAAAAAATCCTTTTCAGCCCCGCCTGAGAGCCCTGCTGCAGGCTTGCACCACACAGATCCAGCTGAGCATGTCGGGAAGGAGGCTGTGAGACATCATGTCTGAAGCAAGGCTTAGGGCCTGTAGCCAATGCCTGGACAACGCATCGAGCGCGCTGTTGCAAGTCGTCAAGTCCAGCCGCAGTCCATGGCACTTCACCGCCTCGAAAACCTCCAAAGCTTTGTTCCAGGAAGCAACATCCAAACCAGCTGCAAGCGCATGCAAAGGTGTCTCCATCCCAACGCCCGGACGCCCGGAGCGCAGCAACTGCAGTGCTTGGGCCCAGTGCTCATACTTCTGACAGGCAGCCACAGCTGCACTGAAAGCAACAGGCGATCCGTTGAGTCGTAGATGCTGCATCAGCTCCAAGGTACTCACTCCTGCCTCCCACCTCGCAGTGCGAGCACAGCCCGTGACGGCCACATTAAAACCCACGGATGTAGGGATGGGATTCCACAGGCTGCGCAGGGTCAGCTCCCACGGGCAAGCACCTGAGCTAGCTCTTCAGAGTGAAACAAAACATGCATCAACTTTTCTAGCAAACTACCGAATAGAAGGTTAGAAGATGGTGGAAGCTTGAAAGCTTCAACTGCTCTGCGAGAGCTTCGGCTTAGGCGGTGCTGGGTGCGAGCCAAGGGCTGGCCATGGGCACGCCACCGCTGAAGTTCTTGGCTTCAAAGGCTTCCAGCATGGAGCAAGCCATCCTCCACCTACAAAAGAAGCCACAAACTGGTAGAAAAGACTTTCTCACAACTTTGTGCCGTCTGCCTGGAAGCACAGGATGCCATGCAGCTGGTGCACAGCACCGCGTTCGGCTCGAAGGACACTTCACTCAATTCTCGTAACATCTGCACGACGTGCTTCCAGCGATAGCACACGCTGCAGGCGCTGATCCCGGCCCCATAGGCCACAACATCAGGCCGAAGCAATGCACTTGCGAAATCCCGTAGCATGCCAACTGCACTGGGCCACCGGGCTACGCGCTCGAGAGCCGTTACGGTAGTGCTGCAGGAAATGATGTCCGGGCCATTGCCGAAATGGCCGATGTCTGAGCTGAGGCACTGAAGAAGCGACAAAGCTCGCTGCCATGAAGCGACCGTTGTGAGCCCCGTCAAAACTGCATTCACCGCAATGGTGCCGGGGCCCAGTCGGGAGGGCGCTAGTGAGTGCAGTGCTTGGAGCTCCCAAAGCTCCCACAGCGCCTGGGTCCATCTTCGCTGGCGGCTGAGGAGGGCCAGGCGGCTCGTCCGCTCCTTGGCGGACAAACCGAGGAGCGTGGAAACCATCGGTCGCCATGGCACGGGAAATCTCTGCCCTGGCACAGCCAAGCCGAGAAACCTAACCCAACTACGCCTTCCACATGGTCGAAAGAGCTTGAGCGTGCTCTCAGTAAGGGCATGTGCTCATCAAGTGCCTTGGCATGGTGTCTCAATGGCATCTAGAGTTGACATGGAAGGCCGCCTCCTTTTTGCTCCACGTCTTCATCTGGATTACTTCGCTTGTGTTCAGCCAGTGTCAAGCCATGGTGCCAAGTGTGGGAGATTGAGAGAAGTCGGTTTGGAAGCATGCTCGGACGCTGCAGCATGCGCAGTGAGATGTCTTCGAGGAGCTGCAGACTCCAAGTCCAATAACTCCAGTGAGCCTTGCCACATGCTGCAGCGTAATGATTGGCATGTGCTTCCAGTGAGTTGGCCAAAAACTCCTGAAGCAGCTCCAGTGAAACTGTCCACTGCCTGTTGGCTTGGCATCCCCGGATCGTGGCCTGCAGCATGAAAGGATTTTGCCTTAGCCCACCCAGTTGTGCCGCCTCCAACAACGCACCTGCGCATTGCCAGCGGCTTCGTTTTCCCAAGCTGCTGAAGATGGCGGCATCGTACATGCCTACATGCGGCTCCAAGCTCTGCAAGGCGACGTCCTGCAAGAGACGTGAGCTTGCCAGCCACTGCCGTGGCCAGGAGCAGGCCCGGAGAACGAGGATCGTGGCCAGTTGCCGACTCGACCGACTCTTCCAGCTGAGCTGACGGAGCTCGCTTCTGCGATAGAAATCCAGCGACATCTGCCAAGCCGCTCCGGACACGCAGGCGCGCAAGGCTTCGCAGCAAGAGTACGCGTCCCCACCACCGACACGCGCCCCCAATTGACCAAACAATGCCAGGCTCTGGCGCCAAGATTTCGCAAATCGGAAACCATCACAGCAACTACGCATAGCTGCTTCCACTGACAGGCGACCATGGATGGACACCGAGGAAGAGAACTCTCTCAACGAAGCCGACCAGCTGCTGGGGAGAAAGGCAAGTGCCAGGGTCCAGGGTGAGACGCCGAGACCTCAGTAACTCAGCTCAAGCGCTTAGTGTGGATCCCATAAGCAGCTACGCAGCTCTAGGCCGGCAAAGCTCCAGAGAAAACTCGTCGCTGCATTAAGCCCTCCGCCCCCACGCAGGGACGCTCGCAGGGAAACCTGGCAAACGTTGATTGCGAAGTGCAAAAAGGGCAAAGTCTGCACGACCGGTTACTGTACCCCACTTGCACACTTTTCTCTGTTTCTCTGCAATCCTCTTGATACTGGGCTTGCTGAGCCACTCCTCAACTCAATCGCTCACGCTCCTCAGCCTAACACTACTCTGATGCCGCTTACTCACAGCTTCAAGCTGCTGCGTGCATCGCTTTCTGGTGTTCACAGGATCATCTTCATTCGAATTCTGACGCGTGCCCAACTATACCAACTGTGTGAAGGTGTAGCTGCGACGCCTCTTCGTGTGGCATCTAGAATTTGGAAAGAGTTGCATGGAGTCTTTTGCCCCGAACTGGTTCAGAGTAGCGACCATATTGTAGCAACCACACGCGGAAGTGATTTCAAGTATTTCAACACATCTCCGCTGCTGCACCGTGGATTTCTGCATCAAACAAAAGCAGAACGGCAAAAGAATGCATTTTTTGCCAGCTGTGCAAAAGCAAAAACTGCGGGGTGCCTTGGAGAAGTAGCGCAGCAGAGCCAACGCCTGCTACGGCAAATTGAACGGGACGTGTCAACGTGTTCTAGCACTGCCAGTTTACACCAGAGGGCTCTACTCAAAATGAGAAGTCGCTTCACATGGACAGATCTACAGCGTTTACATTTACATCGGGCCTCAGCCCAATGGCCAGTGCTCTCAATGGCAGATCTTGGTGCAGGGAGAGCCCCTGCAAAGCAGGAACAGAGTGCGTCATAACTTCTGACTTCAGTCAAATGCCTGATAGGCGCAGCTGCCGCAGCTGCTGCAAGAGCCGGAGCCCCAAAGGCCAGCGGACCTATGCCACAATCCCTCCTTGCAAAAATCCTTCGGGCTACCACCCCTCATATTCCCTCATCCTTCGATGCCTGCAAGCAAGTGCGACAAAGCTGGCGCAGCGGCCGGTACAGTTCTGAGACTGCGGTGGCTCTGGCTGTGAGAATCAAGGCAGGATCTGGGAGCTGGCACTGTGCAAGGCTCTGGGCAATGGCGACCTGCAGCAAGGCAGCTGTTCACAGTCCGTAGCAACACCCTCGAAACAGGCATAGCGGCACAGTGGCGCCTGAAGACTGCTGCGGGCCAGAGGAAGGCCATCCAGGTTCAGGAACTTTATTGCCGTCTGCCATCTTGCTGAGCGGGCAAGGGCCAGGATTGCCACCCTCGGAATACCAGCGTCTTGATCTTCGGATTTACCCTGGCCTCGTGAACTCTCCAAGTAACTCAGAGCCATGGCCCACTGGCCAGGGCTAGCCAATGCCTTTGACATCCATATGTTGGGCTCCAGGCTCTGGCACGTGTGGGTGTGGTAAGCCCACAATATGCCAGCCCAGTGGACCTTTGGAGGTCTTGGCCACGTGAGCTCTGGGCTCTCTAACCTTTCTTCTGAGCGAAAGCTGGAGCGAAAGCTGTGAATGCTGTAGCTCCTGCTCGTCCTGCTCGGCTGCTTTCCCAGCGACTCGCATGCAGGGCATAGCAAAGCCATGCAGCTGAGGCTGCCCAGGCTGCAGCATCACATCGAACATGGCTCCATGGGCAAAGCTCTCCGGACACTCCCTGCTTGCCTTCTAAGGCTCTACACCTTCCTTTGGCCTTTAGCCGAGGGCTTTTCACATGCTTCATCATCCAGCCACCTTCTCTCCTCTTCGCGCAGACCCGTAACGCAGGGAAGCTGAGCAGCTTTTTTTGGAGACGCACACGATAAGGTGTGAAAACCGCGGGCCAAACAGAGCGCTTGCAGAAAAGGGTTGCAGGATGCTGTCTCTTTAGAGAAGCGTGCCTGAATCTCAGGACCTGGTTCTGCACGCACTCGATCCGACGCGCATTGAGGGCCCTTGCGGCCGAAAAGAGGTCCGTTAACCTAAGTGCCGAGTCCTGTCTGGTCCTCGTGCACTCTACACGCTCTACACGTGGTTTCTCTGGCCATGCCGCCTTCAGCTAGCCATCCTTCTTCGACGCGTCCCAACGCAAAGTTTGCAGTTTCCAGCCAAGCGACTCTAAATCTGCATGTGCCGTTTCGTTTTTGAAAAACGTTATAGCTGATCTTGAGGGCCGACAGACCATCTGCCTGATTGCATACTGATGTTGAGTAATCACAACCTTGCTAACAGCAAAGCTTTCAATTCGTCTCAACAGTGCGGCCGGACCTGTAAGAGATGCTGTTGCAGCGCTCAGTCTGGTGACAACATCTCGTTTTCGTTGGTTCCTTCTGGCCTTGGCAGTGGTCATCAGACATCAGACAAGAACAGTATTTGATTTGAGACCGCCACTTTGCGCTCTGCTTGCCGTCCGCCTGAAAGGTTCTGAAAGCTCTTCTCCGTGCCTGGGTCCCGAAAGGTGTTGCTCCGCTGCAGGGCCTGCTTGGAAAGATACACCGCTACCTCCCTGTCAGCTCCTGCCACCGGCACCGCTACTCAGTCACTACCCACAACACAAGGGCAACAGCCTAAAACGTAAGCCAGAGGGGGCCTTCAAGAAGCTCCAGCAGGTCGGCATCAGGGTGAACTGAGCCGGGCCGAAATTTGGTTGCAGTGACATTCTGCAAATCTCTCCACCATGGCAACATGGCGCCTGATGCTTTTGCAATGTCAAGCGGCGTCTTTCCATCCTGGGAGGCTTCTTCAGTGTAAGTCTGGTTCCTGGTGGATGAAGGAACATGCAAAGGGTGCCTGATTCTGGACCCTCACAGACCTTGCCAAATTGTTGGGTAAAGTCAGCTTGCAAGAGTCTAGAGTCAATCCCCTTGAGTTTCAGCCTTCAATGCTCCAAAGCCATCGGCATGCAACTTGGAGAAATTGGCGCTCGAAACACCCGCGCAAGTGAAGCTGCGGTTCGCACAGCTGCCATGGAACACGGAACTGATGTTGACAGAAATACAAGTAAGGTTGTGAGAGAACCAGCCGTGGCCAGTCGCGTCTCAGCAAGATGGCTATTCTGTCCCGCATGCATGTTTGGCTGAGGAACCAGCCTCTCGCCCCCATTCTCCACAATCAACCATGCCTGGCAAAGTTAGCATGGATTCCGCGCTCCTCAAGGCAAGCTGTAGCTGAGTTGGCTGGCCACGTCTTTGGCGCCGCTAATGGCCGCCTCATGCAGGGCCGTGTTGCCACGATTGTTCTGCCTGAGATCCCATCCAAAGCAGGGTAAAGAAGACGAGTCACCATCTTTTGGCAAGACACATGTCCCGTTCGGCACCGCCCCAGAGGAGCATGGAGGCCACAAGCCGCTTGTCATGGATGCCCGCCTGAAACCAATCTGGCAGGCAAAGGAAGGCGTGCTTAAATGGACTGTTGATAGAGTTCTTTAGTCAGTTTTTCAAGCTGCTATGCGCTTGTCATGCTAGCTGCTAGCTTTGGTTGTCTGCACCCTTTGCTCATCTTCATGGATGGGATTTCAATCGCTCTATGTTTGAAGCGCGGGTTCAACAGTGGGGGATGCTGCAGGACGCTGCTCTTTCATTGCACCGAGACCACGGCCAGGATCAGCGGCGTGTTGCCGTGGGCGTCCACAAGATTGACATCGGCACTGCACTCCACCAGCCTCACAGCTCCCGGCACTCTCTGAGCTCCGCCCGAAAGCCCTTCAAACCCGCCTTCAACCCTCTCAACTCATCCCTCTCAACTCCTTCTTGGGCTCCCTGCAGGGAGCCGGCCGCAGCCTCCCCCGCCTTTGCTGCGCAGTGGAGGGCCGTGTTGCCCAAGGCATCCTGAACTGCAGGGCAAATCTGCTGCACCAAGCTGCACTTTGCGAATTTCAAACCTCTGCTCTTGTTTTGCTTCCAGAGGAGTCCACTTACCCGAAGACCTGACTACGCAAGTAGCCAGAAGACTTTAAGGGGGATCGCACTGAGAAAATCTGCGCCACTGCCTTGACACGCGGCCAGTTGACATGAACTACTGCTGCTGCCCCTAGCGCGCAGGCTGAGATCGGATACGCATTGGACGCGTAAAAGGCCTTAGGGCGCTAAACTCAACATGCAATGCTGCCATCTGTTGCACTGCTGCAGCGCTGGTTCAGCGTAGCATAGTGCAGCTATGGTGACAGCTTCGAAGCAACGAATTACTGGCAAGGAGTGCTCCAGTTTCCGGATGTCTGGCAACCAGCGATGCCTCTCGTGTCAACGTTGACTTTGACTGATCCTGGAACATTCCTGCTCTGGCACAAGATGGCGTTTGGATCTTTGCCCATCTCAAGCTCTTGCATACAGATCAGGAAGTCCTACATCAGGTTGTCTTTGCGAAATGCTACGACCACAGGACTTCCTGATCCCCAAGGTAAGCATTTGGGATCTCGCCGGACTGTCCCCAAAGCAGCGGTGACTACGACAAGGCTGCAAAAACCTAAGCTCCCGCCGCGCTCTAAAAGCATCATGGACGGCATGGCAAGCGGAGCCGAGCGGAGCCCTAAGCAAGTGCCAACCCAAACTACCCGTAACTACCCTTGGCCGCGGCAGAGAGCGGAAGCGCTCCGCATCTACCAGGCGGCCACAACGGGTAGCACGCAGGCGACGAGAGAAGCAAGAATGAAGGAAAACATGGCTGCAGCAACGTGCTCCTCCTCAGGAGGGAAATATTCAGCTTCCTTGTTCTTGAAGTACTGCATCCCGATCTCCTGGATACTGTCGTATGCCGACATGGCTTTTGTGAAACTGAGGAGATCGCCGAAAGCTTACAGACTTGTCATACGTGTCTGCATGAGCAAGTGTTTCACGGCCCCGACCGTAGCATCGCAGATGCTGGAGACTTTCGAAGCCTTTGTCGACTCCTGGCAGCCCGTCCGACTCTGGTTTCATTCCTTACAGAATGAAAGCCAGCTGCACAGAGACAAACCAGATGGCCTGTGGCCCCATCTCTTTCAGAAGTCTGCATCGAAGCTCTGGACAGTACTCCTAAGACTGCTCAATACCCCGCGCACTTTTCGAAGATCTTCGGAAAGAATCCGAGCCAGGTGACTGCTGCCATTGCTATCCCCCTAAAGCAAATTTCAAACAGAGCGGAAAAGAAGACGAAGAATAAAGACTTCCTTTTGCAGAACAGCCTGAGATTCAGACTTCTGAGGTAGAGTCGGTGCTTCCCCAGGCTTGCCGCAGGAGGCCGACGCGGGTTAACTATTGCTGTCTTGCCAGGCTCGTTTTAGCATGCAATTCATGATTGATGGAAGTGGAGGTGCAGCTAGCAGCTAGCATTGCTGTTCAAAGGAATTCATCAATGCCTGACTTGAGCCGCTCAGCATTTAAGAGGTGTATCGAGATGTCCTTTGCAAACGCGAGCTGCAAGAAGAAACCGGTCCCACGGTCTCCTTCGCATCAATGTCGAAGTCATCAGCATCCTCACCCGTCCCGCAGGTTCAGTCGAGTCTCACCGCAACCATGGATTTTGCTCGTGCTGCATTTTCTGAACATCAATGCAAACTCCGCACTATACAGCTGCTATCTTCTTCTTCCTCGTCGAGTTTGGGCGCAAAACCCTCCGGCAACCCTGTGGGTTCAACTGCCCGCCCTGTTCCAAGCACGCTTCTTTTTCATGAGGAAGTTGTTCAAGAGCAGACGCCTCTGACATGTCTATAGTTACCAGAATCGCACAC